CACTACAAAAATTAGGAGTTTATTGGATAAATCTGAATTGACAAAAACTTTTACCGGCGTTTTTTTTTCCGGATTTTTCGGATTTATGCCAAAGGGCAGAACTCTAAACGTATTGCATTCATATTGTAATATCTATAAAAAATAACACAAATAAAGTTTTGGATATGAAAAAAAGTGCAAATTCATTTTATGTGCAAATGTGTTGATAAACTGTTGGAAACACGCCTTTAGGACAAGACAGATTTTGTGGGGATCAAAACGATTTGAAATAATTTTATGTAGTTACGAATAGCACACGATGTTGACATTCTGAGCATCCATCTGAAAATATATTCGCATCGGGATACCCGCAACCTGTGAGTAAGTGCTGAGCGAAAGTATATTGTTTTGCCCTGTTTGACATCAGACGTCTGAGTGAGAACCGAAATTACAGCTCTAATTAGACACCCAAGTTGTTACCAGGTAAACAAATGTTTATGTCTGTGAAGAAAAAAGAGTGTCCCATATTATAATTTTATGAAGTGATTCAAACTCGCCCATACAATCAGCCATAGTAACTTCCACCTTAAAGGCGCCATGAGAAGGTTTTGGAGATCGCCTAAATGTGGTGATAACTCATTCCGGGGGCTCCAAGCATCCTTAAAATCCCTAAATTAAAACGATGAGCGACCGATTTTCTTACTAAAAAGCAATAAAAAATCGAACACTCCGAGGTTATCTGCAGCGATGGGAGAAGCATTGTTCCGGCAGCCAGGACGACATATGACCAATGCAAACGCGACATTTTGCTGAGATTGCAAACCCTGTTATTACAAAATATGTATGTTTTTTTAAGGTGATAAATTCAGATAACAGTAGTCGAAAGATGTTAATTGAAAAGGGAACATAATACTGCAATAATCGCCTCAAAAATAATGCACTAACTTTTTTTTTTGTCTTTTGCGGGAGTGATGTTGTCAGCTTTCCAACGCTCGAGTGCGGGGTAGGTCCATTCGTCACATACACACTCGTCACAGGACGATTGGTAACAGGACGATTCGTCACACTGGAACATTCGTCATAGGATGACTCGGCACGCGGCCAACCGGTCCCACAATAGTTCGTTCCCCCAAAAATGTATTGTTCAATTTGGTTCGGGCAGGCAAAGTGACTCTCCTCATATTTTAGTATCTGTTTGACTTCTGAAAGGCGAAGAATTTGTAACAAACATTTTAGCTTCTGGTTCGGTCCCGAACATTGAATGTTGGTTCGACCTCACAAAGTGGGTCACCTCTTAACTTAGCATGTCTTTCGCTTCCCAAGGCCAAAGAATTTGTAACAGCCGTTTTCATTTATTTCATTTATTTACCCTTAAAGGTCCCCTTTCGAGGACATTACATAAGGGGGGGGGGGATCAATCACATGTCAATCAACGAAAGAAACAATGAAACAGCAAAAAAGAAAACCCAATGAAACAATAACTATTTCATCAACAAACACGCGCTCAATCATAATCCAGCAGAGAACCAAAAATAGAAAGCAAACAGGCAGTCAGTATTTCTCTTGAAAATGCAAGACTGCATTTTCAAGAGAAATATGCTTCTGGGTTTGTCCTTCTGGGTTTGTCCCGAACGGTGAATGCAGAGGCCATATAAGACCGACTATTTTTGAACTCAGACTACATTGAAGAGGATGGAGGTGATCGCAACAGAGAGAGGTAGAGCCGTGATGCGGCACGAGGGGTACTCGTACACATTCAGCAGAAAGAATTCCGATGCGTATTGTTTTTGTCAAATAGGTGTATGCAAGGCAAAAGTAGAAACGGATTTGGCTGCTAGTCGGATTATTGCTCGTTCAAGCCAGCAACTGAGATCAACTTGCTGAAGACCCGTAATATAATGCAAGGAAACGCGGAGGAGTATTATATGGTTAGTTTTTTCTAACCATTGATTTATGTGACAGTGGGGAGTCGTGAAACTCCTCATCAGGGAATGTGGACAGTTGTTGAAATTTACAATTTACTATCGTCCCCTGCCCCATCGATGTGACCAGTTGCCCGCATGACGAGTCATCCTGTGACGAATGTTCCCATGTGCCGAATCGTCCTGTGACAAGTACGCATGTGACAAATCGTCCTCATCCCCTTCATGACAGGGTCACCCAACGGGCTGAGTGGGTCGCTGGGGTCCATGGACTCCTAGCCACCAGGCGGGGATAAGCTCCCTATCCTGCCCGCTCAACGATCACCCTAAGACAAATAAAGTTTTTCCTCCTCCTCCTCCTTTCGCTTCTCAAGGTCAAAGAATTTGTAACAGGCGTTTTAGCTTCTGGGTCCGTCCCGAAGAGTGAATGCGGAGGCCATATAAGAGCGACTATTTTTGAACTCGGACTACATTCAAAATAATCGAGGTGATCGCAACAGAGGGAGGTAGAGCCATGATGCTGCCCGTGTGGTACTCGTACACATTCAGCAGAAAGAATTCCGATACGTATTGTTTTTGTCAAATAGGTGTATGCAAGGCAAAAGTAGAAACGGATTTGGCTGCTAGTCGGATTATTGCTCGTTCAAGCCAGCAACTGAGATCAACTTGCTGAAGACCCGTAATATAATGCAAGGAAACGCGGAGGAGTATTATATGGTTAGTTTTTTCTAACCATTGATTTATGTGACAGTGGGGAGTCGTGAAACTCCTCATCAGGGAATGTGGACAGTTGTTGAAATTTACAATTTACTATCGTCCCCTGCCCCATCGATGTGACCAGTTGCCCGCATGACGAGTCATCCTGTGACGAATGTTCCCATGTGCCGAATCGTCCTGTGACAAGTACGCATGTGACAAATCGTCCTCATCCCCTTCATGACAGGGTCACCCAACGGGCTGAGTGGGTCGCTGGGGTCCATGGACTCCTAGCCACCAGGCGGGGATAAGCTCCCTATCCTGCCCGCTCAACAATCACCCTAAGACAAATAAAGTTTTTCCTCCTCCTCCTCCTTTCGCTTCTCAAGGTCAAAGAATTTGTAACAGGCGTTTTAGCTTCTGGGTCCGTCCCGAAGAGTGAATGCGGAGGCCATATAAGAGCGACTATTTTTGAACTCGGACTACATTCAAAATAATCGAGGTGATCGCAACAGAGGGAGGTAGAGCCATGATGCTGCCCGTGTGGTACTCGTACACATTCAGCAGAAAGAATTCCGATACTTATTGATTTTGTCGAATAGGTGTATGCAAGGCAAAAGTAAAAAGTGATGTGGCTGCCAGTCGGACTATTGCTCGTTCAAGCCAGCTACTGAGATCAGCCTGCTAAAGGCTCGTAGTATAATGAAAGTAAAAGCGGAGGAGTATTGTAAGATCAGTTTTCCTAACCACTGGTTTATGTGACAGTGGGAAGTCGTGACACTCCTCATCAGGGAATGTGGACAGATGTTGAAATTTGCCATTCACTATCCGATCGATGTGACCAGTTGCCCGCATGACGAGTCATCCTGTGACGAATGTTCCTATATAACAAATCGTCCTGTGACGAGTGCGCGTGTGACGAATCGTCCTCATCCCCTCGAGCGCGCGCTCGCTGGGTTTAAGTCGTAGTCCGGGCTGTATGGGCAACGAGCCGCGCGCGTTCGAGTTGTTGGTGTTGGCATTGTTAGGACATAGGGAAGGCGGTTGGGGGGGGGGGGGGGGGGGAGGGGGGCGGAGGGCAGGAGAGAGTTAATCGTGTACGCGCTTTGGCGCATTTGTCACTGACTCTGCGCATTTGAGATATCAGTCCGCGGTTCCACCGGTCGGAGGCGCGAGCATCACCATTCATTTAGCGCTCTCTGGGCGGCACCATTTTGTTCGACAGCAGCGCCCTCTCCATACATCCGGGAAATTCAGCAGGTTTGGTGGGGTAAAACGAGAGAGAGGGCACGCGCCCGACTCCGCTAGCAGACGACACAACGGGAGGTTGCCATTCTCCATCTTTGGGCTGTATCGGCGGGCTGTACGGAACATCGAACTCTCGCTCGTGGCTGCCATTCTGAAGTGGTTCGCGTTCTAGTTATGGCTACTCCAAAATCAGCCTAGAGCTCTCTGTTGTTCTACTTCGGTAAATGATCAACTGACATATCTTTTTTTCCGTTACTTAAATAGCAGTTGAGTCAGCCGGCAGTACTACCCTCAACTACTGCGTGTATTGCGGCAGGAGAGCACCTTTCTATTTATTATTTCAGACATCCTCTCATGGTCGCTAAAGGCCTACACCAGTACGAACTCTGTATAGTAAAAAAGGTACAGCCACCGGATTCACTTTTCGCCGGAGAGACCGGCCAGTCTGACACAGTTTTCCCTGTATATTTTTTATTTGCACGCAGATAACAACGCAATTGGCCTCTGTTAGTCTTTTATATAGCATAGTAATACACGATATCTGGCATACCAAAATCTGCGCATCTGCGCTTGAAATTTCCAAAATGAAGCGATTTTACACAGAGTTTGTACACCAGCCGGATGCTAGGTACTGCCCACTCGACGGAGCAGACGACATGCGGGTGAGAGGGGGGAGGGCATTTTTTTCTCTTTTTACCCTCTCTGCTGTGACCCTAATGGAAGGGTCTATTGGCTGACAGTGGTCCTGGTTCCGGAACATGCTCCTCCCATCGCCGGAAATGACCTCGGTGTGTCGCGATCTTTTATTGGTTTTTAAATAGGTGAATCGGGCCCGCGTATCGTCATGATTTCGGGATATCGAGGATGCATAGAACCAACAGATTGAGTTTTCGCCACATTTAGGCGATCTCAGAAACCTCCCCAGGGCACCTCTGTGAAGCGCAGGGTATTATGGCTCAAAAGGTTCATACTTTATGCTTCGTGACTCGTTGTGCGGAGATCTTATCGCTAATGTCGAAACCTTATTAGCTGCAGAGGGATAATATGATGTCTGACTGTGACTATACTGTTTTTCTTATGAGAGTCAATACCGTGATTTATTAACGTCATGTAGACATTAAAAAGCAAATCCGTTCATGGTGGTTCTTTTCATAATTACCTGTTCCAGGAGAAAAACTTCTGGCTCTTGCGCAACTCGGTGACGTCGCCGACGGTCTGACAAAGCGGGTAGCCCCCGGTCTCCGGCAGCCAGGCGGAAGCCACGCCTCCCGAGCCGGCCAGAAGGCCCAGGACGAGGAACGGGATCCACATGCCGTATTTGGCCTTTGTGAAAACGGAGCACAACGATGGTTTTTTTTTATATAATCGCGGGAAGCCGAGGAAACACCGGGAGTCTTATGATAGTCACGCTCCTCGCTTCGAAATTCGTTCTTAGGCGTTCTCGTTTACTAATGTTGCATTCTCCTCGATCGCGGGGCGATAATCTGATACTCGAGATTCGCCACACCAAGTGTTTTTTTTTTTAAGCTCTCAGTGGCTATAGCCGTTTGGTGACGTGTAGAACGTGCATAAAAAAGAAAAAGAAACAGTATATTGCTCGTCGCGTGAAATAAACCACACTGTTAAGAACGTCCACTTCTCGCAAAGCACTTTGGAGTGCCGACTCTGCTGTCGCGAATAACGAAGCTGAAAATATGTCTAGGCATAAAAGAACGGCCCGTTCTGTGGTAATGAGCATGACGTTCAACCATGCTCCGTAACACAATGTGACCAACATTGACGCGAAGATATCACCTCTAACTACCCAATCTCTTTAGGCATCAGCGTAGTTAAGTAGTAGTAACTACTGCTAACTTTATTTCTTTTAGAAATCACACAGCAGCAGCACTCGGGTGGTTCTTTTCACCGTCACCAGCAGCGTACATTTTTTAATTGTTTCTTCACCAACTGTTATATAATGCCACGCAATGTCCAAGCCTTTTCCTTTACGTTCTGTTTTGTTTCGCAAGACGCTATCTATTGCAGTATGTTTAACACTCAACACTGACGGATCAGGATAATTATCGCCTTTTGTACTAAAAAACCGGTCAGTATAAATGCAGCAACCACTGCTACTAAAGAAAATAATTAACGGGGTTAACATAATGGTACCAACAGAAACTATCAAAGGAAACGATATATCCATTGATTCTGCGATTTTCGACCTCGTTTTTTTTCTTTTACACAGATATATAAACACAGTAATTAAAAAAAGGCATTCCTTATTTGAGGAAGTGTGAAAATAGATGAGAAAAAAAAGTTGCTACACGAGATGGGAACTTTTGCGACGAACCTACCAAACAAGCGTTGGTTCCGAAATTGAGCTTGTAAGCTTATTTAATTACTCGTCACGGCAAACTTTAAACTTCCTTCGTTAAGAATATGGACGAAATGGTAACGAAGCGCCGACGAGGTTTGCGAAAAAGTGACAGAGAGAGGTGAAGAGCGCGCTCGAAGTTGCTGCATGCGGGCTGATTTGTCGCTGTGCTGCTTTGACGCCGTGCTGTTTCGGCACGTGCTCTTCTGTTGCTGCACCGTTTTGACGCTGTGCTGTTTTGTCGCGTGCCATTTTGACGCGTGCTGTTTTGTCCGCCATGCTGTTTTGAGGCTGTGTTGTTTTGATGCGTGCTGTTTTGACCGTGCTGTTTTGTCATGTGCTGTTCTGTCGCGTTCCCGCTATGATATACATTGGCGGAATATAATCGGCTCCAGATCACATGGTCGCTTGTTCTGGCTGCGAATTGGGGGGGGGGGGGGGGGGGGGGGTGAACGCTGCTCGTTTTTTCTTTCATTTTTTCTGCGAATTCGTCTACGTGTGGTGCAAAAACGAACGGGTGTTTCACAGGTCATTAACGTCAGGAATCCGTTCTAAGGGGTATTAGCACAAAGTAGAAAAATCGTTGCATCGCCCCTTTAAAGGCAGATGCACGCATTACGTTCTCCACCATAATAATTAATTGTATCTTCTACTATAGTCTTTATATACGTGTTTGTTCTCTCAATGATGCCTGTCCCCCCCCCCCCCCCCACACACACACAAACACACCTTGATTAAGGATCATGCGTTGCAGGATCTTGTTTTCTTGCTTAATCTCTCTTTCTTTCTTTTCTTTACTACAGCCTTAGGTAGATGCTAAGGGGATTATGGAGACGCTAAGAGGATTAATTTTCTCGCATAAAACCGTGGTTGTAACGTGGGTTTTTGATCGCTTCCTTTGTAATTGAGTTCATGCTTGCTCGCGTGAGTAATGTATATTTCGCCGTTTCTAAACCTGGGCAGTTGAAAGGTAAAATGAAAGAATAAGATATGTGACACGTGTATAAACAAAGCTAAGATAAAAGCAAGCGTGTTATCTAGAAGTTCAGAAAGGTGAAAAACAACGAGAAAGAAATGTTTGATAGAACTAAATAATCGTACAATGGCGACGCGTAGCGTGATATTATTGAGTTAACATTTAAGTGTAGTGTAATGTGTATTGCACGTTGCCCCTGTGATATAGACATAAACAAAGTCACGTCGGTAATGGAAATGTATATAAATTGTAAGCTGTCTAACTAGCGCCCCCCCCCCCCCCCTCCCCCAAATGCACACAATTTGAGATTTAATAATTCCGGGATTTTCACAATGATTTTCACAATAATCGACGCGCACATCGTCAATATTTGTATAGGGTGACCACAATAAATCGTAGCGCTGTAAAACGAACAGGAAAATTTGGCGCCTGCCCATAAAACGCTCACACGTTCACCGACTGTGCATTTGGATAATGGATTTTACATTGTGAAATTTCAAGGCGTAGTTCTCTTCCTTTGAAAAATGAGACTCACAATCTACCAGGGCCGGTCAACGGCGCACGTGCTTGCAGACGATCGAGTAGCGATGGTTGTAGCGCCATCTCCCAGTAGGCGAACCAAGTGAACAAAGTACGTCGTTTGCTTGGGGTGCCCATCGGGTATGGTGCCACAATTTACAACCGTCGCTAACTTGGTTGTCTGCGTTGACCTTTTCAACTTTTGTTGTCGTCACGTTTAACAGGAAGAGAGATATTGCCTTGAAATTCCACAAGGTAAACTCCACCACCTAAATGCATAATCGCGGCAAGTTTGTGCCTTCTAAGCGCAGTCGCCAATCGTTTCCGACTTGTTTTACATCGCTAGATCCATTTTGGACCCCTGTATTTGCGACCAACAAAAACTTCCAAGTACTACCTAGACTCAAAACTGAAAAACAAGAGCAACAACAACAACAACAGCAACAACAACAAATACAGCAGAAACATCAACAGCCGCAACAACAACAGCAGCAACAGCAACAGCAACGGCAACAACAACAGCAACAACCACAACAGCAACAACAACAACAGCAACAACAACAACAACAACAACGTCGTACTAAAGAACGAGGGCACTCTAAACAACATATATGCCAGCGTGGAAGGTTAAGTTATTGTACTCAAATGTGTCAACGTACCAGAAATATGACGTAGGGCATGCTGATACTGAGAGCATACGAGATAGCTGAAGATGTGCCGAGCGCGAACGATCGCAGAGACGTGGGCATGACTTCGGCGGCTTGCTGGTACATGACCATGAAGGAGGCCGTGTTGGCGAACTTGGCAATCAGGAAGCACGCCGTAGTGAGCATGTGAGCATCTGTGATGTTGCAGGAAGCAGAGAAAAAAAATAATGTTTATTGAATCAGGTGCCTCCAAATATAACGGGGTGAAATTTACAATGCGAAATTTAGCATGACTCATTCTGTGACATGAAATTCATGGCCGCCATGAATTTTATGTCTCATAAAATTCATTGTTGCAATGTACATTATTCGCATCGCCCCAGTCGCAGATGAAGCTAGCGGTTTGTCAGTGTTTTTTTCAAGCATTCTTGCTTTCTTGTGTGTTTCTTGAGCATATAAAAACAATTATTTTACTGTTTGATTTAACACGTACGCCCTTAATCTGCAGGCCTCTTTATTGACGAACTAAATGAAGAAGAACCCTTATAAATAAAAAAAACCCTAATAAGTAATATTTTTTTAACCGATGTTGTTAGTCGTGCGACCAATGATATAAATCCGACTGCTCAAAGGGTCCGTGGCGTAAATTGGCAGGGCTCAGGAAAGGTTTGGTGTCAGGCCATAACACCTCAGGTTTCTTTTAGAACCCTGGTCGAACCCTAATCCCCGTATAATCCTAACCAGTAAATGTTCAGAATATGTGAAGCTGTGAAACGAGTTAACTATTCATGTCATATGCTGCCTGTATTCAGTGAATTTAATGAAAACTTCAGGTTTTGTTTTCTTGTACTTCTCGTTGATGGCTCTCTTCTGAATAGTATAGCAATATTATTACGAAGCCAGTAAAGTTTTGTTATAATATATTTATTTTTTTTTAATTTTTATATTTGCTACATGATTTATAAGATAGACTCCGTCGAACTGCATGAGCAGTATTTTTCTACTTGTATATATGAAACGGCATAAAACACAGCTAATCTTTTGTTGACTGAACAGAGGTTTTGCCAGTTATTGCCAACGCGAATGTGTAGTGAATAGAACTTATAACGCTAAACTTACTTCAGAGAAACAATTTTATAATTGTACATTTTTATTTCATTGGCAACCTAATATATTTATTTTAATAATCGAATTTGAGCTAAAGTTTTTATAAACCGTGTTTTTCGGACTATAGTCCGCATCCGGTGTATTGCCCGCATTTGATACATTTCCGCAAGTAAACACACTATCCTGCATCACACTCCTTGAGAAATGCGTTTGATTAGCGCAGAAAGTAGCTTGTATTATACCGAAACTATCATTAACATAACCTTCCATCCATGAAAATTTTTCACGTCTCGTTAGAATAATGGATATTAAAACAATTGAGATTTATTTTTTGATTTATGGATGAAACCATCATATGCAGAATTCTGTTTTGTGGTGAACGAAGAGAACGTTAAAAATGTATTCACACAAGCGCTCGAATCGCAACCGCTTTGCGAACGCGGTTCGACCGTTAGTGTGAATGCGGCGTTAGACTAGTCTCAACCTCCCACGGCACACGACGTCGCGTTTAGCGTCGCAACGTCCTCCTTTTATAGCGTTTTCTTGTTGTTTCTCAAGCTTTTCGCAGCAGGCGAAGTCTTCTACATCCGTCTAGGTGTCAATGTTTTCGTCTGTCCTGTCCTCATAACTTTTTTTTTTTTTTGTTACAGTTGCGTTGTCTGGCCGACGGTGCTGGCGCCGTAGGACCTGCGCTGCCAAACACTGTCTGCCAGAAACCTGGGCCGAAAAGTGTTTGGCAGCGAGTCAACTCTTTTAGACCTTGGAACGCGACGCTCACTTTTGTAGGCTAAATGAGAGTGCTAATCTGCTTTAGTAAGATTGCAATTGTGCATTAAAACGAATTCTCGTATTTTTAGTGGCTGTACAGTGTTCGCACCGGGTAATTCTTATAGTGTTGCGCATATACAAACCCCGGATTGTAGTCCGGAAGGTATACGGTACCTCGATTATTGGCGGCGTTAACTTTCAAAAAGCATGCAAGTGACGTACCCGGCTCAACGAGGCAAGAAGCGAAGCACGAGCCGCTCACGATCAGCTGAAAGCCGACGCTGGACCATCGACGTCCGAGCCGCTCCATGGTCCACCAGGCGACGACGTAGCTGGGAAGCTCAATGATCGCCAGCAGGAAGAAGTTGAGGAACTCGTTTCCAGCCATGTTGGTCACGTTGATGTGCAGACCGTAGTAGGCGGCGTTGTTTGCTACCCTGTTAGCAGTTCAGGAAAATTGATTGTACCGGAGCTAGGGGGGGGTCGGGGCTTAGTTTTCGTTGAATGCCGAAATTTGCCACGGTTCTAGCTATTTGGCAACTGACTATGAACACGGCTAAAAGGAGCCGGCTAAGAAGAAGCTCACACGCTAAGTTGACAATTTTCGGAAATTATTTTTGATGTCACCACGTGACACTCGTGTTTTAGGCGTTCGCCGCAGCCAATTAGCCTCTCCGGAAGGAATCGTTTTTTTATTTCATTTTTCCCTGTTGAAAAAGTGTTTATTTGGAAAGTGTGTAATTCTCCACAGCTTTAGCCCCCCAAAAAAAGGATTGCATTTTTTTTTTTTTAGTTTAGTTTGGGAACAAAGTGCTATCGGATTCGGAAGTTATTATTGATTTTCGGACATTCTCAATGAAAACATGGCAGCTGATGAGCCCACAAATAGATGGAGAGACATTTCGTCAGCTATCAAGGGTGGGCCCTTTATTGCAACTGGCATCGCCCATATCTTACAAGTAAGAAAAGGCAAGCTCTGGAATTTGGACACCTACATTTAGGCGGAGACTGAGTGCTCAGTAACGCGTACCTAATTTATTTTCGCGATAAAAAATGGGGAAAAAAACTCATTTTTTTGGAGGGAGACGTAATAGACGTTTTATAACTGCGTATTTCAAGGTTTAGACGATGAGCGACGACTGTGTCTGGGATGTTTGAGCCACGCAGTAAACAATTTTGAATTAAGAATAAAAATGGCGAAGGGCAAAGCCAAAGAATTTCCTTGCCATTCAATGACAAAAACTACAAACACCGACGCGGTCAATCAGACAACAACATTACGGTTACGACTAGAGTTCATGTATAGGCTCCCTACGGGAGCCAGAGTTGCGCGATCACGTAAGGAGCCGCAAGAAGTGCCGTGCAGGAAAGTTGACGTTGCACGCGCCCCGGCGTACGTTTCCCGCCGCTATTCGCCGAATTCAGTCACGGGACGAGCGGGATCAACATGCCGTGCAGGAAAGACGACGCTACGGAGATGAACGCGCAACTCTGGCTCCCGTAGGGAGCCTATACAGGAACTCTAGTTACGACGCTTCCTGCCGCGCCTCTGGTGTCGCGAAACCGTACTATAATCTAAATGGGCGTGCACGCGTAAGCCCGGTCCGTCCTTCCAGCCCCAGAGGGCACTACGGACCACAGAACGGGTAGGCGGATCGGTGTAACATGCCAATGAGTCACACTGACAAAGAGTATTGAGAACGTACACATGAACATGTATCCATAGTCGTTCCCAAAGCTTCTCATTGAGGTGAAAAAGAAAAAAAAAATGTCGAGTGACTTGTGTGAACACAGGCGCGGCATCGTCTGATATTGCAGAGAAGAAAGCTATTGCGCATGTTTCTAGCGCGTTCTACAGCCTGTACTCCGTTTCACTACAAGTCTGACCGCGCAGCGGACAGAACGGCCCGATGTAGCTAGTCAAGCAGTACCAAACTTTCATCGCCACGGCACTCATTGTCTTTGTAAATTAAGTACACCAATCACGCAAAAAAAAGAAAGAAAGAAAGGCCGAACTTGTTGCCGACATGCTGATCCTCGAAGAAATGCGGGAGCATTTCGCGCAGCGGTGATATTTCCCAAAATATGGTCCTCGGCACTGATCCTCGGCACTTTTCCGCCGGATGAGCATTCCCAAAACCCCTTCTTTTCCCTGGTGCAAGCAGATCAGTATAGGTCACTTAGCGTGCGTATGAAAGAGGTGGCACGCGATGACGCGAAAACGACAGATCCATTTCAATGCTGTGCACACATGTTGTGCACAGAGGGACAACGACACCGTGCGCTTACTGGTGACATGGTATAAGACGGCTGGGCGTCAAGAACAGCGTGGCAGGCCGAAGAACGTAACCGCGCCGCCCGTGAGCATCCACAGGTTTTCAAAGCCTGCGGCAGGAGCTTACGAAGGCGTCCAAAGCGCGTACCCACTCCCCCTGGCCGCTTGTCCAGAGGCTAGGCGATAGGACGCGTAGCAACGGCGGCCGCACAGGATTGGCTGGTTATAGAGAACGACGGCGTGAAGTGAACCGAAGAGTAACCAAGGTCCATTGGGGGACAGCAGGGCTAGGGCGGACATGGCCTCCGGTGGGGCGCCGCAAAGCGGCGTATACGAGTGGCCCAAGGTGGGTTTATATTTTATAATGAGCCATCTACAGGCGGTACATCTGTCGTCCTTAACTGCGGGGCGCCGAAATTGGCGAAGGGGATGTCGCCGGCGATTGTCGGTTGCTATGTATTACGTCACGGCGTCGCTCTCCATAACCAGCCAATCCAGTGCGGCCTCCGTCGCTATGCGCCCTATCGCCTAGCCTCTCGAAATATGCACCTCGCCGCCTTCTGTCAGCGCTTGCAGAAGGTGTTTCCTAGGCAGTTTCCACAGCCAGTGGTTCTGTGGCGCCATCCCGTGGCAACGTTCCGAACTTTGGATACGTGTGCTCTTAAACAGTTCAAGGTCGGCGCATGTACTGTCCCCTGCAATATGAAGGACCCTCTGGGAGCGCGTGGCCGAGGCGGTGGCTGGCGTGGGCCCTGCGAGCGCTCCTAGGAATTCCATTCTGCTTCGAGGGGAGGACGCTCACTCGGTGCTTAGAACGCGCTAATCACTTTGTGCTGATAAGCGGGTTCCTAATGGAACGCGCGGCGCGCACAGGGGGTCATTCATATTGCAGGGCATCATACCAGGCCACTAATGCGAACGGATTAGAAGTGACGAATCGCAGCGCATTCACTGTGCAGGATTGGTGCACTGGGTGACAACAAACGCAGCAAGAGGAAGAACGCCGTGACGATGTACTTTCTGCGCCGCTTGATTGGCTTTACTGAACGGTAGCGTCTGCTACCGTCGGACCTAAAGTTGAACGGAGTATATTAGACAAATATGGCAGTGCGCAGAAGACGAATAGTGTAGTGGTCTATAAAGAATTGCAACGATCGCTTTCTGTGCGTTCCACACCTCTGTCTATCGTGTTTTAGGAAGCACCCTAAGCAGTAGACATATTTAGCAAGATATCAGACGCGGTGCACATGTTCAAAGCCCCAGTGACTTGGAAGTCATTCACCGGGCCGGGTGACAAGCGCAGTAAAAGCCTAAAGTTTCTACGAAAATAGAAAGTTTTCATTGGTCGTTCCGATACTTTTGATATCGGTACCCGATAAGGACATGATGCGCGCGCCACGCCGTCGACGGAGTATCGGGTGCCGTTATCGAAGCCATCGTAAAGAGCTACTAAAACACTCTAATTACGAGCAATTTTCAACCCAGCCCCAGCTTATAGGTTGACACGCCCGTTCATAGTTGTATAAACCAACCACTCAGCAATAGCTTTATTTTTGTTTAGATACAACGACAGATAAGGGCCCCGCAATTGCATGGGCGCCTGTAAACACACAATACCATACAAGTAGAAAAAGTGGCAGCAAGATATACCTTTGAAGTCCTATAATACATAAAATACAATTTAGTGAGTTAGTTTGTCACGTGTCATATATTTCCCGCTAAATTTTGCGTGGAAACTGAGTTGACGTATGGGTCACGCGTCGTCAATTTCCTCAAGTGTATGAGCCACCTGACGCCACTTTCTCCTCTAAATTTAGCGGAAAATGCAGGGACGAACGGACGGACGGACGGACCGACGGACAGAATCTTGGGATGGGGAGGGGGGGGGGGGGGGGGTATCGTTAAAGGGCAACTCCGGTCCATACTTCGATTTTGGGATTTAGACAGTTTTTAGTGCAGTCAGCGTCCCGGAATTGCATGGTGTAATTTTTTTTCTCGTTATTGTGCGTAGTTTTAAAGATATCGACGCCTCAAAGTTTTGTTTGGGGCGCGGCCAACAAAACCGAAACAAGCCGCTCGAGGCCCCGGCAACACTGGAAATCAGCCGCTATGTGAACGTGACGTCAGGATCGTCCTCGTTCAATGAGTACGCAGACCGAGCGGCACCTACCTCTGTTCCACTAGCCATCTAAAGATAGGAGGTAAGCTGATTTTGTTTTAATTCTGTATACGTGGTGGTTATCCAGCATATTGCCGCGCGCAATGTAGGCAGCGCGGCCGTGGCCTAACGGTTATCGCGCTTGCCTCCGACGCGAAGCCAGGGTTCGATTCCTGGGAGCGGCGCGTCTTTTTGTTCATTCCTGCAGACTAGTATTGTGGTAAATTCGAGAACCGTCTTGGCTGATTCGAGATTAGAATATTCTACTCGCCGAACCTTCTACGCCGAATGCTCCAGAAGCCCACGCGTGTACAAAAGCGTGTGGCAAGCCGGAGTCAGTTTCGCCCCAGCGTTCGACTCTGCTCTTTCGCCTATTCGACGCCCGCGACGCTCTGCTGTTATCTTCTGTTTCCTTTTTATTTTTGGGCACAAGTTCGCCCCCATTAAACGTTTAGTTTCCTCAGTCATTATCACCTCATCACTTGTCATCCGTGACATCTTGGTGGAGGTGCGGGGTAGTGCATTCTATGCCCGTTAAGCGTACCCCTCCGAAGACATCCCGGCCAAGCGACGTGCTCAGCCCCGGAAGACTACCCTTCGTCGAGGACGCCGAAGCCCGAAGAAGCCACCGCACCGAAGTCCAACTCCCGGAATCCGGACCCCTGCAGCACAAGGCGAAGGAGAAGATCCCGACAATGACCACATCGCCCGTCGTCGTTCTGCCCGTCGCTCCGCGAACGCCTTCTCCCTTCCTCAGCGAGACCTACGAGGACGTCGAAGACTGGATCAACCAGTACGAACGCGTGGCTCGCCACAACGGGTGGAGTGACGAACAGCGCCAGCAGAACCTGTATTTCGCACTTGGAGGGACTGCAAGGCGCTGGTTCGAAAACCACGAAGCTTCCTTGACTTCATGAGAGCTTTGCAAGAACGAGCTGACGCGTACGTTCGCAAATCAACATCGGAGAGAGAGGGCCGAAGATCTGCTGTAATCCAGGAACCAG